GAGAAGGTGGTGCTCTATTTGGTGCTGGTGCCTGGCTTCTGGCTCCAGCCAGTGCTGCAAGGAGCACCACCCCTGCGCTCCCTGCACTCATGGGACACAGAAGGTAAGCCCCAGGCACTGGAGTGGGTTGGGGCAGGGAATGCAGCCAGCTCTAGCACTGGGGCTTCCCTCCTGTGCCCCATGAGTGTGGTGAGTGCCAGGGAAACAAACAGCCCAGTGAGGGCTGTGGTCCTTGCTGTGATGGGGTGCAAGTGCCTGGCTTTGGCAAGCACTGTACAACTTGCTGCTACACCATGGGGTAGTGTGTGTGTGTGTGTGTGTGTGTGTGTGTGTGTGTGGGGGGGTCCTCACACCCCTCCCACCTGCCTTCACCCCCCCCCAACCACAAACCACATGCACAGAAACAGGCATACCATCCCTCCCCCTCCAGTGTTGCCTGCATTGACTGCAGGAGAGGATGGCACGCTCCAGAGCCACACACCCATACCCCACAAATGCCACACAAGCCCCCAACATACCCTATGCCCCCCCACTGCCATGCCCTCTCACAATCTCTCTCCATACCCTACTGCACGCACAAACCACCATACACACACCTTGGCCTACACCACCCATAACCCACCACACCCCCCCCACACAATATAAGAGACTAAGAATTTATTTTTGAGTTATTATGCAGTCCCATCTATATACAGTATACAAACATGAATCATGACAAAAGTATGTTTTGTAATAAAATTAAAACGTTATAGCAGGTGTTTGACATTTAGTGTAGGATGGTTGTTTTTTTTTTTCTGGTTGTACGATGAGAATCCCCCCCCTTCCAAAAGGAGTATTTCTGGGGGGCAAGGTCAGGGGTTTTCCAGTGGCAAAGGTCTGGGGTTACCAGGTGGGACTTCCGATTCCAAGATGGTGACCAGAGGGCGGGGCACCTGCCAGGGGGCAGGGCTACCCATGTGGCCCTCAACAGCTCACCAAACCTTGTTAAGCAGTCCTCCACCTGAAATAATTGCCTGCCCCTGCATTAAGGTATGTACAGACATTTGGGGAGGTTAGATTGGGTAATTTTTAACTCAATCTAAAATAAATTGGGATGAGAGGGGATAGCGGGGAGGCTGGGGCGGGGTGGGGAAAAGGGGAAAAAAAAAGTCAGGGAAGCAAGCAGGGTCAATGGATGGGTGGTGGGGGCAAGTGGGATCTGTGGGGTGGATTGGGGGAGCAGAACAAAAATCTGCAGGAGGAAATCAGGGAGGCTAGTGTGGTCCACAGGGGGATTGGAGAGACAGGCATTTGTGGGACAAATTGGGGAGTAAGGGGATGTGTCCACATATGCAGGCACGTGTACTTGCAGCAACTCAAATAGCAGTGGCAGAAGTTTGCGGCAGAGATTTGTGCCTCAACATACATGCCTGAACATGCACTTGGTTGCGAGGCAAATTGTGCCACTTGGGGCAAACTGACCCTGCCCAGTTCCTCGTGGATCTTCAGCCAGGGGGAGGTAGGGGCTGGGGCCAGCCCCTGTGCTGGTCCCAGCACTATGAAAAGCTGCCCTGCCAAGAAGCTCAGGGCTACTTGCCCTCAGGAGCTTCTGAGGTCCATCCAGTTGGTATCTTGGGACACTAGCCCCTTGTGCCAGCTGGACTGCTAAAGCAGCCCTTACCTAGACTGGCCCCTGCACCCTTTACCCACTGCAGCAGTCTAGCAGTTGGAGCTGCTGCCCAACTTTAACCTGCCACCACCTGCAAAAGCAATTGCCCTATTGGACCTGAGGCCCCATGGCTGTGCCTCTGCCAGACCTGGATGGGAACTGCATGGCCGCAAGGGTTGTGGTATGGGTACAGCAGCAAAGCCTCCTGCACCTCTGGGCCAGCTGCCAGTGGGCCATGGATGCACAGTTGGCCTTTGAGCAGCACTACTGTCATGTCTTCTGGTGCTTCCGCTCTGCCATCTGGGCAGCTATCGCCCAGAAGATGTGCTCATTGCAGAGGCCTGCTTTGAACTGTCAAAGCATGTCCTCTTGGCTCCAAATGGCCAAGTCAGCCACCTTGTTTGCCCTCCAGCAGAGTCCCTGGTGCTGGCCCTGGGCAGGCTCTTCTGCCTGGGTCTTGCCATTTGCTTCAACAGGGAACAACAGGATCTCTGCTGTTTAAAAATTGCAACTTCTCTGATAAGAAACTCAAATTCTCTCATTAAAATACCCCAAATCTGTATTCTTCCATGATTAAAGTGAAATGCCACTAATATCTATCTATCTAGAGAAATTAGTTGAGCAATATTTTATTGATATATTTACAATTTTAAAGCAGTTTGGAAGCCTGCCAGTGCCTCTATCATTGTAATGAAATGAATTCTAAATACCTATACATTTTTAGGTTTTCTTTTGGGTTTTTTTTTTTTGGGGGGGGGGGGGGGTTTAGTTATAGAAAAAATCAGAGCTGTCCCTGATCCCTTCTCTCACCAGGAAATGGGGCACTGAGCAGCACTGATATTCCTGTGCTCTGCCCCTGCCCCTCACTTTCAACCCACTACCTCCTCTGAGTGCCCCTCACCCCTGACCTGCAGGCCCTGCCTGCTCCTACTGGCTCCCTCCCAGCCACAGTTCTGTCCCAGCACCAGGACATAAGTCCAGTTGCTGCTGTTCCACCCACTGCTTTGTGGCTCTGAGCAGTGCCAGCCCTCGCTCTTTTGCTCCATGCACCTGTGTCCAGGCCCCAGTGATCTTCATGCCATTTCTGTGAAGCCCTTGACTGGGGCTCAGGGACTGGGCTGGGCAAGCCCCTTCTCTTCCAGGCTGGCCTCCTCCTGAACAGGCTTCTTTAGGGGGAAAGGGGTGCTCTAAGCCCAGATTTATGAGCTTCTGCTACCCAGAGCACTCCTCCCCCTTTCCCTCATCTCACATTTGTACTCCCCCCCACCCCACCAGCTCACACACCCAAGTGGTTCCTGGGACCAGGGGCACCCACAGGGTGGGGCAGTGTGTCCCAGCACTGGTGTGGGCAAGGAGCAGGGCTGCAGTGTACATCCCACCTGCATCCTACAAACCACATGGCGTACATCCACCAGCAGCAGCCATCCTGGTGCTCAGGGCCTGCTACTGACTGGCAGAGCCACCCAGCAGCACAGCGTGGCCCTAGCCTCTTGGGACATGGCATTGCCTACGCCACACAGTGCTGCACTGGCCCTGCCTGCTAGCGCAAGCTCTCAGGCAGAACTGGCCGCTCCTGCCGTCACCCGGGATCTTGGCACTGCACACAGGGGATGCGCACCCTTGGGCCTGGGTGGGTCCCCATGGAGTCAGGACCCAGCCGGGCCTGAGGGTTTGCATCCCCCGCATGTGGTGTCAGGACCCTGGGTGACAGCAGGAGTGTCTTGGTTCTGTCTGAGGCTGTGCTAACGGGCCGGGCTGGCACAACGCTGTGTGGCACAGGCAGCACCAGGTCCCAGGTGTCTGGGTCCAAGCCGTGCTGCCTGGGGGCTCTACCAGTCAGTAGTGGCCCACCCCCC